CCCGGACGGACATGTCTGCCTGCGCCTGGCCACCACTGCACGAGGACAGGTGGCTTTCTGCCCGACCACTAAGGAGCTTCGGTCCCGGGCTCTGTGGCTGGGACAGTCGAGACCCGGGGACCCTGCGGTGGAGCCTGAGGCAGGACATGACAGTTTGGGTGTGGGATGTCTCCCACAGCCCCGCCGCAGGGGGACAGGCGGGGCCTCCGGGAGGGAGGTCCCTGGGTGTGCACTTGGTGTGTGAGGGGACGGTGGCACCTGGCACTTCTGCTCTGTCCCTGCTCCCAGCTGCCCTGAGGTGAGCACCTCGGGTCTGCCCTGTGCCCCCCTCCATGATGGGCCTTGTCACGGGCGAAGCCGACCCTGAGACCGGGGGCGAGGTGAACTTTCTCTTCAAGCTGACTTGTCTCAGGGGTCTTGTCACAGTGGGGACCAGCCAGCGACGCCTCCCACGGCAGCCGGGGCAGTGAAGGAGGGGTCTGCCTCTGAAGCAGCTTTGGCCTGGGAGCTGGGGACCCACTTCCAAGCTCAGCGCGACGGGAAGGAACAGAGGGGGCTCCAGACGGTCCCCCCGGGAAGGGCGTGGGGACGACCACGGGGACAGGGACCCAGACAGGCCAGGGCGAGCGCGCAGTGCACGCAGGGGAGGGCACCTCAGTACCTTGCCGTGCACACGCATCCAGCGAGAGTACAACGCGTGCTTACACAGGCGCGAGGGGCGGCCCAGCTCGTCCTTCCCCGTGGTGGCGTTGATGACCTCCAGGGCGCTGTCACCGACCGTCCAGTTGACGCTGAAGTTGGGCGCCTTGCCCGGCTGCCGCGCCTCTGCGTTGCTAATGCCTGGAACGGAGCAGTCACAGAGAGCGACATGAGCCTGTGAGCACGTCCGGGGACAGGAGGGGACGTCCAGGGCAGCTGGCTGCTCACAGTCAGAGGGCAGCGCCAGCAGAGTGCCATCTGCAGAGGCACCCACACCTCCACTGCCACCGCGCTCTGGGCCCAGGCCAGCAGCGGGCCAAGAACCTGCAGCAGACCCTGGGGGCACACTGGTCGGTGACAGGGCATGGCCGCAGCTGCCTGCCATGGAGCCTCAGTCCACGGGGGCCAACAGGGCTGGAACCTTGCAGCCTGCGGGGGGGGGGGGTAGGAGCCATCGTGGTTAACTCAGGTGCTGCCAAGAGAGCTGGCTGAGTCCTCCTCGGTGAGCCCACCCCGTGTGCCCCTGCTGCCCAGAGGCCAGGCGCCAGGCCACACCGGTCCCCAGGCACGACACCCAGTGGAAGAGGAGCCACGGCTCTGAGCGAGTGGCTTCCCACTTCCAGCCCTGCCTCAAAATAAGAAAACGGGGCTGGGGACGTGGCCGGTGCAGGACAGCCCTGGGCTGCATCCCCAGCAGCACAAGATGAAACAGATGAGAAAGAGCATCGCAGAAGACCACTCGGCACAGCACAGAGTGGACGTGGCCAGGACCCCGCCTGCTCCCCTCCGTCCTCCCTCTCTGCAGGACCGGGCACTGGACCCAGGGGCTCCCGGAGAGCTGCCTCCCCAGCCCCGTAGTCTGTATTTTGAGACAGCGTCCTGCTGAGTTGCCCAGGCTGGACCTGCAATCCTCCTGCCTCAGCCTCCCGAGGAGCTGGGTCACAGTGTACCGCCAGCAGGTGAGAGCAGACTCCTTCCAGAAAACAACACAAACAGGACGACAGGAGCAGCATCTTGTGAGGGCGGCATCCAAAGTCGCAGCCAAGTACATGTCAGAGTGAGACCCTCCAGACCCAGCGGGGGTCACCCACCCTCAGAAGAACCCAGCACAGGGAGGCCAGCTCCAGGTGGAGGAGGTGGGCTCTGGAAACGGCAGCTACAGGACAGGCCTAGGAGAGCGTCCCCATGCCACTGAGTGCCCTTAAAAACTGACCACCCAAACAAAAACAGCTGTGGGGTTTAATCAGACATCCACTTCTCAGGAGCAGCTGGACGCGGTGCCTTTACTCATGTATCTCTCAGTGGGGCTGAGGAGGACGGTGCTGGGCAGTGCTGGACCCCGGAGCCTGGCCCAGCCCTGGAGCGGGATTTTAACACTCAGAAGACGGTGCAGGACCACACAGCAGGCCGGAGAAGGGGCCCGTGTGGGCCACCGTGCAGGAGGCCCTGCGGCCTCAGAGGAGCGAGGCACCGCCACAGACCTGCAAACCCACAGGACAAAGAGCGTCAGAGGACCCAACGGAGCGCACTCATCAGCCTCCTGCAGAGACGGGAGACAGCGGAGAGCCAAACCGCGGGACTCGGGGGACTCCGTTTTGAAGACCAGCCTGTACCTCAGAGCAGGGCCTGTCCCAGGGGCGGGGTGGCCCTGTCCTTGGAAAACCCGTTCCTAGGCACACAGCTACCTGCCGAGCCATTTGTCCCCACCAGAGGACCTTGACTCAGCAAAGGCAAGTTCCTGGAAAGACCAAAAGAAGGCCCCAGGCACAGCAGCCACCCCCAGGTGACAGGGAGACACCTGAAGTGCCAGGGCCCAGGGGTTTGAGACTGGCCACGTGACCAGGCCTCCCTGCAGTTTAGCACACACTCTTGCACCCCCTGCCTAGACCAGTCAGTTCAAAGGTGTCCACCCTGTGAACCAACCCACCAGCCACCCTCTTGTTCCCGCCAGTGACGGTGCTGATCCAGGAAGAGCTGGGTTTGACTTTCCCGCAGTGTGCAGTGGTTTGCTGTGTGATGACACATAAAGTATCCCCCCAAAACCTATAAATCCTCACTACTAAGGGCCGGCACTCACTCCCTGGGGCCGCTGCATCGGGGAGGTTGAGAGTCCAGGCTCGAGCTTGCAGTGAAGACTCTGGTGTGCTCGCATGGGACTCGGCTCCCGGAGGTCTATGGGGTCTCAGCAACCTCAGGGACCACAGTGGCCTACGGTCCATGACCTCAGAGAGGAGGCAGCATGCCCACGGGTGGCAGGGGGAGCCCGCCCAGCACTCAGAGCCCAGGAGAGGGCACAAGGGCAGAGTAGGGTCCACCTGAGTGGCCAACCTGATTGGATTGAGAGGAGGATCGAGAGGTTCTGGGGGTGTCCGTGGGGCGTGTCCAGGAGTGATTGGCACGCGGGACAGCCAACTGAAGTGGAGGCCCTCCCTCTTGTGGGCAGCACCACCCAACAGGAGGGCGGCCTGGATGGAGTGAAATGTGCAAGATCAGGCAGCCCCTTCTGGACCGGTCCTCTAGGAACCGGACTCTCCCTTCTTCTCTTCCAAAGGGGCCTCTGCGGGGATTCTCCAGGAGGCTTGGGTCTCAGACAGCAGCACGGTGGCCCCTGTTCTGGAGCTTCAGCCTCCCGGACTGCACAGCTACTGGTTCTCCCCACTCTCCAGCCTGCAGATGGCCACGCTGGACTGTCCAGCTTCTGGTCACGTGAGCCAGCCTAATAAGTCCCCCTCTGTAATCATCCTTCCTGTTGCTTCTGTCCCTCTAGAGAGCCCTGACCAGTACCACCCCCAGGCATCCTGGACGCCTTGTCTTCTGTGCCCTGAGCACAGGACAGCAGCTGGACACAGCAGGAGCCGTCGCCCGAGGGCCGGCGGAAGGCAGCGAAACCAGGGCTGGTTCTTCAGGTGACAGAGGACTTGGTGACCCTTCAGCCAGGCAGCCAGGGAGAGGGGTCACAACAGTGACCTGGGAACAGGAGACACTGACCACACTGAGGGCCACACACATCTTCTAAGTGACAGCAAGGCACTGCCCTCCAAGAAGGTGACAGCCAGATGGAACGGCTACTTTCAGGAAGTTGTGGGTCACCAGACTGAAGAAAAGGGTGAGCAAAAAACAGTCCTGTGTTTTAGAAACTGAATTCACAGCTAAATTTTCTCACAAGCAGACCCCAGGCCCCACGGCTTCACTGGAGAATGCTCCCCTCAGCCACCCCACACTTCCAGAAAAGCTGGGGACGCGTCTCACCCACTTCACCCACAGTCCAGCATCCCCAGGGACAGAGCACCTCGGGGCAGAGACACCCCAGAGTCCAGCGGGTAGGATCCAGCGGGCACAGAGCAGGGTGCTGCTGACAGCTGCCCAGGAGCACGGGGCAAAAAAACTGAGAAGCGACCACACGACAGTCTCAGAGCCGGGAGACGCACACAGCTCCCGTTCCGGCCTCTCGCCCTGGCAAACCAGGAACAGAGGAGGATCCCGAGCCTGAGCGCGACCCCTGCAGGAGCCCAAGCTGACAGCACGCAGCGGTCCAGGCTGGCTCCCGCCAAGGCACTCGCGAGACTGCGCTGTCCAAGTGCATGTCCCCACGCAGGCTTCGGGTCTATCCAGGACAGCAGGAAAGGAGGAGGGCAGGCCCCAGGGCCACCTGTGCACACCACTTCATGGCAGCTGGTCAGCGGTGGATGGGCAACGGGTAAATGGAAATCTGAGCGGCTGTGAGCCTCAGCACAGCCGAGGAAGGGAGCCACCTGGATTCAAGTCTGACCGAGGGAGTGCAGCCTGCCCTGCAAGCCAGGTGCGTGACGGTGGCCTGGGTCAGCGGGGAGACTGCGGTCAGCACGCAGTCCTCGCCACAGACCCACAGTCGGCAGTCCACCAGATCAGCCGCCTCGTGCAGATCCTGGGAGCCGAAGGCCACGGATCCGGGGAGCCCAGAGAAGCTGGACTCACAGGTGCACACAGTGCCATCCCGAGGGGCCACACACCTCAGCTGAGGGTCCAAGGAGACAGACAAGCCTGGTGGGGAGGACCGTGAGGAGGGCCACAGGCACAGAGCCCTCTGGACTGCAGGGAAAGTGAGAGGCAGGACTTTCACCCTCCCGCTCTGCTGGAATGCAGTCCTGCTAGAAGCGGCAACTCGGACCCGCAGTCTATGGCACCCCCGCAGGCGGACGTGACCCTCAGGGAGATCTCTGGCGACTGTGGACGTGGCTCGAGTCTCACCCGGGGCCGTGACCCTCAGGGAGAACTCTGGCGACTGTGGACGTGGCTCGAGTCTCACCCGGGCCGTGACCCTCAGGGAGAACTCTGGCGACTGTGGACGTGGCTCGAGTCTCACCCGGGCCTGGGTGAGCACTGTGACGAGAGCTGCAGACACACCTGGCCGGGAAGCGCTTTCAAACCATTTATGGGATCGAGGACGCGTATCCAGAAAGCGGGCAAGAGGTCCCGATGACAGTGCGGGAGGTCCAAACCGTCACCGAGGAGGCGCAAAGAGCGGTCAGCAGTGAAAAGGTGCTCGGCTGCCCAGGCCCTGAGGGCTGGTCCCTGACCTGGACGTGCGGGGAGCCCATGCCCTGCGCTGTCCAGCTTTGGGATCACGGTCAGGCCAGGCCCTTTCCACAGCTTGGGGAGTTCCCTGGAGGGGCTGGCGTGTCCCCAGACAGCTGAGGACAGGTCACCTGCCGACACCTGCCCAAGGTCTTCCCTGAAACCCGCCCGTCCACCGACTGTCCTCAGAGTCTGAAATCTGTGAGCCCCAGGGCTGGACACACGGCGCTGCTGGGCCTGGGCCCATCCTCACACGACACAGAGGCAGACAACACAAAGGCGCGTGTCCCTGCAGGTGAAAAACCTGGAAAAGCAAAAGAAACCCTGCCCCGACCGGAGGCGAGCGCCGTTCCCTCGCTCTCCCGACCCTGAGTCACGCCGACCGGCCGGCAGCCGGAGCCTATCTGGCCCTTCGCCGTCAGTGCCTCTGGGAGACGGGTGGATCTGGATCCTCCCTGTTTCCTATAACTCACCCTCCCCTCCTGCTTTCCCATTCCCATCGTCTTCCCGTATCTTCTGTTAACTGTTCACTCTTTTCCCGATTCCTGGGACCGAGAGCTTGGTTGTTTCCTCTCAGGTCACCCCACGGGGGTGACCTCCTCGCGGTGGCTGGGCCCTGCCACCATTTCCTGTGTGTGTTCTAAGTAAACCGAGGGACGTGATGCTTCCTGTCCTTTCCAGGGGCAAAGCTTTGGCCTTTGCATCTTAAGGACGCAGAGCCAACTCTGAGTTTCCTTCTGTGGCAGAGGAAGTGCCTGGGACCCTGGAGGAGTCTGGGTGACAGCTCTCCGACAGCTCCTGAGGAGCCTGGGATGTGGTCTCCGACCGCTGTCGCCCCTGCTGGGCCACACCTTGGTTCTGCTGCTTCGTGTCTGGACCGCTCCTTCCTGAGCAGCTTTGTGGGTTTCCTGGAGTTTGCACTCTCCTGGGTTTTCTTTTGCTGTTCGCCTGCACTCTCGTCCTGCCAGCTTCCTGGGCGGTTTGCTGGATGGAGACATTTCACTCCGCGAGCACCCTCTTCAGAGCTCCTCCAGGACTGCTCCTCTTGGGTGTGGCCGGCCGCCCTCCCCACCCCTGGATCTGCGTCCGTCTCCTCCTGTGGAAGTCTCTCCGTACTGCCAGAGCGTCTGCGCGGATGCTGGGTGTCTTCTGAGTCCTTGAGCATCTCAGACTCACCCTCTGCCCCATGCTAGACACCACCTGGTCGCAGGAAGGCCGCAGGACACTCCTCAGATCCCGTCCCGCTCACCAGGCACCGACACGGCTCACGAAGCCGGACGCGTGTCGTTGATGTACACGTCGGGCCACTTCCTCTGGTTCTGGCCTTCTGATGGGGTGCGAGGACTCCGGGCGTGGACCTCCCCCAGAACCTCGGGTTTGGGTCAGGCCTGCACTTACAGACGTGGCACTGGCCGGGGCGCCTGGCGCGGTCTCTGCTCTGGGTCTGTTCCTCACAGGTTGTCCCCTGCGGTGTTCCTCAGAGGTCTGCTGAGGGCTCTGTCCACTCACGTGCCGAGAGCATGCAGCTGGCGGCCTGGTTCCTCCGTGTCTTTGCCGAGTGCTCGACTGTGGGCAAGGCCTGACCTCTGCCATTGTGCAGCCCAGCTCAGCTCCCCGTGGGGTGGCCAAGGCCCTGAGACTGCGGGACCCTCAGCATGGCCACTCCCTCTACAGACGTGGAGGCCAGGCGGGGAGGCCAGGCGGGGAGGCCAGGCGGGGAG